AGATCACACACAGCTGTGCTGGAGAGGCTATGCTATCTGAGCACTCTAGCCAAGAGGCCCAGCGAAGTCTAGCCTTCCAACCACCCTCTGCCACGGCACCAGACCTGTGACAGAAGCCTTCCTAGTCTTCCATGCTTGCCGGACCATTGACAGAAGAATATTACTGAGTGACCTCAGAGGAACAACCAGATTATCCACCCAAGGCCCTAACCGGCAAAATCCCTAACTGGCAAAATTTGTGGGAAGCTGGTTGCTGCTTTAGCTTAGTAAGTTTGGGGTGGTTTGTCATACTGCAACAGTAATGGGAACATAAATTATTAACTCATTCGATAAACTTAAAGATGCTAATCCTGTAAAAAATATCCCACATATTGATTGGCCTTGTCTGCAAAACTAATTCGAACAATGACCAAATACTACACAACATGTCTTCAGTGAGTTTTTTTATTTTACATGGCAGTGTAATTACGTGCACTGGCTCAGCAAGAATCCATCCTTCTCTTTACCAGGATATAATTGGATGAAACAAAATTTGTCACCATGACCATGCCAGAAGTGTTTCATGTAATGTAAAACTCATTTAATCAGGCACAACAGGCCTATTAGTAAGGAAAAAGGACTGGGCATCCATGTACAGAAACAATGCTTCGGAGACCTCCCAGAAAACTACCCTGGACCTGCTCGGTGGCCCGCAGTGTATCCGACAGGCAGTGCAGAATGTCACTCTGGAAGGCTTGGAACACTGACAGACTTGATTTGCTGGAGTAAGAACATGGCTCCGCAGTTACAAGCACTACAGCCAAAACCAGAAGAGGCAAGCTGAAGGTGGAATGCATACTTTTTGCCCTTATCCTGTTCTCCCGTTGACTACAGCCAAGTAAGATTTACTGTGTTTTAAAGCTGGCATTTACAGAGCCACCCCAAAGCTTTATACTTTCGGATACATTGCAATAAGAGAAACACCATGGTTTGTTTTTAATCAAAGTTGATCAATGGGCATCCAATTAGAATTACTGATGGCCACATAATAACACGAATTGCAAATATCACCATCTCTACATTCTGTGAGCCAGTAGGTTGTTTTGTAAATTAGTTTCTTTGCATGCGCCTTACTGTCGAGTCAGTTCAGGTTTCAAAAATTAGCTAGTTTTTGCTTCTTGGTTTTTCTTTGTTTTTTGGACAAGTTAAAAAATGGCAAAAATGCTTACTATATAAATAATCCTGGCTGGCAATGATAGTAAGTTTGTTATAGGTGTGAGGACTTTCGGTTTGTCTTAATTCAAGTGGTGACAGATATCGTTACAAAGAACTGTAGGGTAGATCATTATTCTTTAACTCACATTTACCAGGACAGAAGCAGAGGAACACCCTACAGAGTCCTAAAAACTTTTCTGTCTTATACTCACAGAATTCATCCTGCTAACAACAGATGTAAACACTGCCAGTCGCAGAACTAAACTACTGAATGGGGACCTGTGAAACCTGGAGACTTGGAATGGGGATACCTAGGGAGCCCCAATCCTGAACCCCAAGCGAGCTGAGCCTCCCTTGACAGCGTAAATACAAATGGCCTGTTCTGTGCAACTCTTGAGATTAGTCTTCCCTGCTTGAAGATCCTGCAATCCTATCATCGTAACAAGAGGGGTGACTTTCTTGCAAGATGATTATTCTCCTCCTCAAGTTCCAGTCAACCATCTTTTACTGCCACCCACTGAGATTAGAACACAGCATTTTCTGGGAAACAAGTGCAATCCGTAAACTCATCACTCGGATTCTCAAAAATTGCAGAATTTGCTACTCTGTATTGGTAGAAAGAGAAATTTGTGTGAAAATAGATTCTATGAGTATGAAATCAACAGAATATAACACCAGAACAGGCCAAATTTTTGTATGTAATTCATTTACCAGAGAATTAAGATTTAATGGCTAGGTCACAGAGCTGAAAGGGGCTACAGTCGTCAAACTGGCTGACTGAAACTTAGGCTCCATGTGAAACTACATTTACTAAGACTGGGAGACCATAACTTCTCTAACATGAGAGAGACGCGGGGATCCAAAGTCTTCAGGAATGTGGAGTGCTGGAGTGGGTCTATCAGGTATGACCTACACGTACACATCCCCCACGGTTACCTCACCAAGGGGCCTAGAGGACTGTCGTTCTGTCATCCTTACTGGAGGGAGCTCTGCCACAGGTCAACCAGTCATCGTTCTGGCCCTTCTGTCTCCCTGCCAACCCAAACATGTACCATGCTGCCACGAAATAAGAATCTCTTACTGTTTGTTTCTTTCTTTCGCGTTTCATGTTTGGGGGGGTACTTAGTGCAATCAGTAATTACTGGATGTGAACATTTGTGTACTTTTACATAGGTTTGCAGTGCACAGTGGCTACATGCATTACAGAGAGTTGGTACATGGACACAGCACCTCTTCATTCCTTTCTGTCCCTTTCTCTCCCCTCCTTCCCCTTCTATCTCTTAGTTTCCTCTCGGTTTTGATTTAGTTTTGGTTTTTGACCTGTTTGCTTTTATTGTCTTCGCTAGAGCAACAACTGCATCCAACTTGTTCCTCACTGTATCTCAGCTGTCGAGCATGGTGCCTGGTATACACATATTCAGTAAAGATGTGTTACCGGCATAACCAAAGAAATTCATTAGTCCGTCTTTGTCAACATTAAATCCTGGTCCCTCCCTTCTGGAGCAGCTATATTTGTAAACAATTATCCTCCCCAAGAGATTATTTACATCTCAAATAAAAACTTGTCCTAACTTGTAAGTCTACTGTGTCTTTCTTCAGCTGATGACATGGTCTGTTTCTACCACCTTTCCCATTAAATTATATTATGCCCAGAAAAACTTTTTTTTTTTTTTTTAATTCCCAACATAGGAAAGAAAAAATCTTTTTAGTAAAGGTCAGTTCAGTGTGTTTACCATCTGTTCCTTCATGAAATGCTTGAACAGGATCCTGTCTTTCTCCAGAAGCACATTTCAGCCAACAGGCACATGTGACCCACATCACAAGTTAACCAAATTCTCAAATATCATTAAAGTACATCTTCTGACTCATTGAGCAAACTGTACACAAGCTGGAACACTTGCCGAGAGTGTCACGAGGTGACTTTCCTTCTATCAGATAGATGGTGTGTCTGTTAATATCACAGCATTTCAAAATTCCACATTTCATGTCATCGAAAGCTTTCATTTTCTGCCACCATTTCTTTTACTTCTAGCAAGTATCAGGTGCTTTCATTAACTGCAAACTGCTAACCAGGACTGGTGATAAACACCTATAATCCCAGCACTCTGGGAGGCTGAGGCAGGAGGAACACAAGTTTGAGCTTGAATGGACTGCATTTACATATGGTTTAAATTAAAATAAAGTGGCTGCAATGTGATTTTATCTCTAGGATTTCTTGCTTTAACTTCTCTGAGAAGCTCACACATTGTCCTGGTTCTTGGAGATGAGAGAGGGCATCTTCTGTATTTCACTGACACCTCCATCTAGTACTAACACGTATGTAGTACTGCTACCCACTCATTGCTTCACACGTGTCATTCCCTTTGCTCTGTCCAGCACCCTTTGGAGGGATACGTTTCTGTTATTATTTCTATCCAGACCACAGCTGGTCCCAGTGAACAGAGTACACACAGGTGCACTTCATCTTTCATGTGTATGTGCTAGGGATTGAACACTGGGTCACCTACATGCTAAGCACTTGTCCTACCCTTGTGTTACATCACCACTCTTCTGAGTACAGCCAAGACCTTGTCGGATCTGCAGACCAGAACTTCATACTCTTTCTTGCATGTACTAAGCCCACGTACCATTTATGAATGCAGTTTCAGTTCTTTTTAAGTGCAGCAAAAACCTCAGCACACACAAAATCATCAGAGAGCAAATTTCTTAACTTTTCATAAGCTTCCCAGTATTTTACATTTGTCTTGGTCCCCCCCACACACAATTTAATAGGGACTTTCTGAAAGAAATAATTTTTCTTGTTTTTTTTTTTTTTCTGACAGCATTCAACATAGGTTTAACAGAAATAAATCTCTTTTTCGTACTAATTTTTCATCATTTACAGGATACGTAATAAAAAAATGTATACAGCATAAGTTTGAGAACAAACACATTGACTCTTTTTTTTTTTTTTTTTTTTTTTTTAAACCTGAGTCATCTGTTTAAGTAGAAGTCAGTTACCAGGGTATCTGCTGTATTATAACTCAGGTCTCAAGCAGAGCTAAGAAGAAAGATTAAGAGTTTGCCTATTATGTGTGTGCCTTTTTAAAAAACCTCTTTCTCAATCCTACATGTTTCAGTGCACTTAGGAAACCCTGAAAGCAAAAGACTAAAAAGTATTAAAGAAAACTGAAATGAAGCATCAGAAACCCACATTGAGTCTTAATAAGGAAATAACTTGTGCAGTCCGAGTACAGGAACATCCCCTCCAGAAGCCTGGCAGCCACTGGAGATCCCAGTCAGTGTTCTCCCAAGGAGGTGAACAGCACTGCCTGAGTCATCTGTTTAAGTAGAAGTCAGTTACCAGGGTATCTGCTGTATTATAACTCAGGTCTCAAGCAGAGCTAAGAAGAAAGATTAAGAGTTTGCCTATTATGTGTGTGCCTTTTTAAAAAACCTCTTTCTCAATCCTACATGTTTCAGTGCACTTAGGAAACCCTGAAAGCAAAAGACTAAAAAGTATTAAAGAAAACTGAAATGAAGCATCAGAAAAGGGATCAGATACTTCAGTACAACATGATGAAGACAATGACCCCTAACAGAGAGAACTAACTGTAGAGAGGCATTTTAAGAAAATTACAACAGACCTAAAATAATCTTATGAAAGTATTTTGAAAGATTGATAAAATTATTTAAAAGATGGTCCACCTTTAAAACATGCCATTAACAGTGTAAAAAAGTTTTCTGAGTGCTACCTGCTTGAAAACATTAAACTTAGATTAGTTACATTCCTTTTGTAATCATGGATGTTTGAAGTGAAAACTTACTTATCTCACTGGAGACCTGATTCAGTTTATCCTGTGATCTGCTGACCAGAACAACCTTCATCCCACGCTTTGCTAACTGAAAAAATAAGACATCTGAGTCACACTTATGCATTTCGTTTTAAAACACAAATTAGATATATCCTCATTTTAAGAAAACCTGACCAGATGGTAATTTAAATGAAAATAAAAACCCAAGTGTATCGAACAGGCAATCAGAATAAATACTTCACAGAAAGAATTCCCCAAAAGATTCTCTTTCTAAATCAAGAACTTAAATCTCCAAGGGAGTCAGAAGGAGGGTGACTTTTACTTTTCATTTTGGATCTGTGTATATTGTTGGGGTTTTAACATTTATTAAATGTCTACTACTTCTGCAATTTAAAATCTAGCTTCAAAAACAAACGTTTTGATGTAGACTGGATACAGAAAACAAAGATCAGAGGATTGGCAAGAAAAGTAGTTAAAAGGTCAGCACTTCCTCACAATATAATCTATTTTTAAGTTTTTACTTGGGCATTGTACTTTCTAGACAGCCAAACTAAGATGGTTAACTGTCTAAAGAATTTTAAAAATTTCCTAAGAAGCACCATCTGCGCATCTGCCCAATGATGCGTAAGTGTTGGACAGAATGAAAAAACTTTACAGGAATGTATTGCCACCCCAGAGACACATAAATACAGGGCTAGAGAAACATTTGCACAAAACTTAGCCAACTGTTCCAGACAATTTATAAATGAGCAATCAATTTGGTACTGTGAATTATAAGTGCTTTATTAAACTAATATTCCAATCCTAAAACCTAAAGTCAGTTCTTATTAAGTAATGAGAGGTACTGCAAATGAAGCTATGGGAGAACATTTTTAATAAAAATAACAAAGGCTGGTAATTGGCTAAATTAATCTGCTGTAAAACCACTGAAGAATCCATTCACCCATATTGATAATTTTTTAAAAATTATACGGGCTAGGAAGAGAAAGGAAAAACCCTAACTTACAGAAAAACACAAACTAATAAATGTAGGAGATATTTAGGAAAATTACCATTTTAAACAACTAGACAAAAAATTGTCAAGGGAGCTTAAAAGCAACAGACAGAAGATTCCTGGGACACAGGTTATGGAGAGTCTCAAAGCACCATCCCATATATTTTTTTATTATTATTTTTATAATGGAGAAATACAGTATACAGCATTTTAATAAACTGCTTACCTTAACATAATCAATAATGGAACAAATGGACTTCATGTACCTCCTGATAAGATTAACTCAAAAGGATACATATCACTTGCATAGCATTCTTGCTAAAAAGCATTTATCCTGAAACCAATCATGAGGAAGACATCAAATTTAAATTTGTATGAAAAACAATCAGCTAGGGTTTTTCAAAAGTGTGACTGTTATAAAAGAAGAAATAAAACTTGTCTAGACTTCTTCAAGATTAACAAAGCCCAGGGGCTAGGGATTTAGCTCAGTGGTTCTGCTGCTTGCCTTGCAAGCACGAGGTCCTGAGTTTGATCCCAGAACAAGGTGCTAAGTTCGATCCTTGGTACCAAAAAAAAAAATTAATGAAGACTAGGAGATATGATAGCAAACACAGCGCACAGTCTTCAGGTGGATCTTGGAACCAAAAAAGAAGAGCTATAAAGGATGTACTGGGAATCCTGTCTGTGGGTTGTAGGTTATATCACAGCACTACACCAAGTGAAACCTTTTGTGCGGGTGCTTATGAAGGTGAATATTTTAGATCTTAGAAGATGCATCTTGAAATACTGAGGGGTAAACTGTCATGATGTCTGTAACTAACTTACAAATGGCCCAGCCAAATAACAATAATAATGATAATAATAATAGAAATAAAATAGCTTAAAGTGACAAAACGTTAGTGGGTGAATCCAGGTGAAGGGTGTTTGGTGTGCACTGTATTCTTCTTACAACTTTCCTGCAGTTTTGAAGTTCTTCAAAATAAAAAGTTGAAAACACAAAAAAGCCGGATGAAAGAAAAAACACTTTTGATAAAAACAAATCAAACGAGAAATTCAATGCATCTGCCAGAATCTTCATGCAAACCGGGCAATGGCTCTGCAGAGGCATAACACAGGGAAACTTACACGAAGAGTATCGCCAGGCTTCCTGCTCTGCACCATGGCCTTTGAACTATCAAGACTTCCTTAGCCTTTAACTGCGGTACAGAGGACCTCAATCCTTTGCTTGACTCTGCAAATACCTTTCCATTAACCTCAGTCGTTGTAAAACGTATGCCATGAACTACTCTGGATATGGGACTGCCTATAACACTATTTCTAGCCTTTGGATTTTTCAAAACTGAAGACTGTCCACAATTAACAATATGAATGGGCCAGGGCTTTAGCTCAGCGGTTCGGTGGCCTGCCTTGCAAGCACAAGGACCCGAGTTCAATCCCCGGTACCAAAAAAAAAAAAAATTCTTATGTTTATGTACACAAACTTGGTATTTCTCACAAGATAAAATTTTTTTTTAAATCACTGTACTATGCAACATTATATTTCCAATTTTAACTTCAAAAATCAAATCTACTATAAGAGATTATTCCAGTTTTTTTAAAGAGCCAAAAGAAAGATCTTTAAAAGTCACCTACCTGTTCCGCATATGATTTTCCAATTCCATCAGTACTACCTGTGACAACTGAAAAAAGAAAAACAGCAATAGTTCAGTTTAGAAACTACAATGAGGAACTGCTCATTTTAACTAATGCAATAAAAGAACTATAGTAACATTGTACTTGGATGGAAAAGAGCAATCCCTGGAACTTTGGGTGCAGCTCAGTGGTTGAGAGTATGCTTAGCACACACAAGGCCTGGGTTCTACCCCTGGCATCAAAATAAATAAATAAAAAGGCAATGCCAGTTGTTCACAGGTAGCGTTGAAAACGTATCGTAACAGCTAACATTAAAAAGGCTGCAATATCAAGTACTGACAAGGATGAAAAGCAACTGGAGCTCTCATACGCTGTTGGTGGTACACGAATCGATAGAATTCTTTTGGGAAAACTGTTTGACAATATGCCCAAAACTAAAGATGTACCTACCCTGAGACCTAGCTATTCTGAAGAGACAGAAATGAACTGTGGCCACCAAAAGAATGTTCACAGAAGCTCTACGTCTGCATAGTCAGGAAACAAGTCTAAGTATTATTTGTAGGAGAATGAGTGTAAGGAAACTAAGCAATAGTCGCACAACGAATACTTAGCAGCAACAAGAAAAGAACTACTGATATTTGGCGGGGTGGGTACTGGGGGTTGAACTCAGGACCTTGCGCTTTCGAGGCAGGCAGCAGAACCACTGAGCTAAACCCCCTGGCCAGAACTACTGATATGTACAAAGCATGAATGAATCTGAGACACCACGCTGGGTGAAAAAGTGTGACACAAAACTGTACAACAATTCTATTTATGAAGTTCAAGAACAGGTCAAATTGGCCCTCTCTGGGATGGAGGTGGATGTCAAAGAAGGGGTACAAGGGAAACTTCAGGGGTACAAAAAATATTATTTATCTTGTATATTAGTTACCTCTGTGTGTGATGCCTGCTTCACAAGACGAGGGATGACCCAAACTTTTCTCATTTACAGATTATGGAAAACAAGTTACAGTGTAACTTGTATGATTTCTTTTATTTGTCCTAAAACTAATTCTTTCAAATTACACTGGTCCCCAGTTTAACTATTCAGAAATACGCCAAACATCCCTATTCTTCCTAGCCGTGGCTTTCAGTATCTCACAGACCTTCATCATGGCCCAGCTCAGCCATCATCTTTCCAGAATTTAAAAGACCTATTTAGAATTAAAGTCGAAGTCAGGTGTGGTGCTGCACACCTGTAATACTAACACTACTAGGGAGGCTGAGGCAGGGGGGTGGCAAGTTCAAGGCCAGCCTCGGTTACACAGCGAGTGCAAGGTAGCCTGGAGGACTATATAGAAAGATGCTGGGGAGGTTAGGTTGGGAGGGAGGGAAGGTCAAAAATACCCAGAGAACAAACTCCCATGTACCCATGGTCCAGCTTCACCAAGGATCAATTTAAGATTAATCTTGCTTCATCTATACCCCACCTGCTTCCTCCCACCTCAGATTATGTCGAATCTCAAACACCGTATTACTTCATCTATAAATACTTCAGTATGCATTTGCTATCAAAATAAATACAGTGTTGGGCCGGGGAATTAGCGCAGTAGCGCCACACCTGTCTTGCAAGCTCAAGGTCCTGAGTTACATCCCCAGTACAAACAAACCAACAAACAAACAAATACAATGCCATATATATATATACACTTTTTTTATATTCCTAAAATTACAAATAGTAATCAACATCTAATCAGTATAAACTTGCCCAAATGTTTCAAAGAACTTTTAATAACATTTCTATCAGGAGTCAATAATTCTATATTTCAAATGAGTTAACATGTCTCCTGAATCATGAAGCCTGGAAGTTCTATCTAACCCTCTCCTTACCCTCTTCCTCTCTTCTCCCTCTGACTCTCTTTTCCCCTACCCTTTCTTCCCTCCCTTCCTTTCTCACGCAATTTATCTCTTGAAATACTGGATCACAGTGTGGCCCTGGAGGGGATACAGCAGTAAGACACCTGCCACTCCCTCTTCCTCGCAACTGAGCGTGACATGAGCAGGTTTGCTATGCCAGGTGCCTCTCCAGGATGTGCTGCCCTCCCACCAGAAGCAATGAATCCACACAGTCATGGAGCGGAACCTCCAAAACCGGGAGCCAAAATTAATTAACTTTCCTCCTTATGATGTTATTACCTCAGATTGTTACAGCAACAGAAACCTGACACAATCAGCCAGATCCTCCCTTGCACACAGAAGTATTCAGCCGGTTCTCTCCTCTCTTGCCAAGAGCATTCCTTGTTCACCTCGTGACTGAGCATCTTCCATAACTGCCCTCAGCCACAGGGAGCTGCTTCACCGCCCTTGGTGGCACTATCTAATGACTGGCTTACACTCAGGTTCCTGGGGTGGGCTCCCTGGCCTCGCTTGGGCCTTTCAGAAGGGCCACTCCAGGTCCAAAGTTTCCATTGGTGTCAGCTATGACCCCTGCCACACCTATAGCGTGGTTTTACTTCTCCCTTTGCTCAGCTGTTTCCTTACTTCCTTATTAAGCAATGTCCTCAAGAACATCCCCAGCACACCCCATCTGCATACATCCAAGTGTCCAAATTTTTTCCTGATCAACTACTGTGAACTACAAATCAAGTAATACATGCACAGTTAGAAAAATAAAGGAGTTGGAAAAGGTTTAAACCAAAAAAACAGCACCATTTTACACCAGCTTTCTACGTTCTCCTACTCCATCTCCAGAAGCAATTATTTTTGGTTTTGCTTCTGCTTGTATCTATATTCTGAATCCTATGTTTACACTGTTACCTCCTGACTGATCAGCTGTTCATTACTTATTGGCTCCCAGGTGATGAGAATTCCTATTCCGCCTTCATTTTCCCCATCCTTCAGATGAAGTTATATCACAACACCCGTCAACTGTGTTTACATAGCCGAATACAGCACATCAATTCTGACACTAACCAGCGAGACAGTATAGAGTTACCAGTTGCCAGAATGGTCTCTAACCAGACTGCCCTCATTTCTGATGCCTAGTTCAGAGGTTCCTGGACTACCTACACTTCTGGCTTAACTGGCTACAAGTTTGGGGGTTTTCATAAAATGGCCCCATGCTTGATAATTCACTAGAACAACTCACAGAACTCAGGATAACTTCTGGTTAGTTATGAGAGAAGATACAAATCAAGGCCAACCAACTGAGGAGACGACACACAGGATAAGGCCCAAGCTTCCACGCCTTCTCCCCAGGGCATGGGACCAGGACAGGCACAGCATCTGCCCAGAACATGGCTGCCTGCACCGACCAGGAAACTCCACCCAGCCTCAGACTCCGGAGCTGTAATCGGGTTTCATTACAAAAGCAGGACTGAAAAAATCATGGGCCACATGAGAGAACTCGATCTCTAGCCTTTCTCCTCTTCCCAGATGCTGGGAGGCTAAGCTGATAGCAGAGGCTCAACCTTTATTCACACATCTTTCTGGTATGACCACTCCCCATGAGTCATCAGTACAGACTTCCAGGGCGTTTACCAAAGACACCCCTATCACTCAGGAAATTCCAAGGACTTACTCTCCCTCTCGGGATCCAGACATAGGATCTACTTAAATTTTGTTATACAACTACTGTGCCCAAATAAATAAATTATTCACTCCTGGCCCAAAGAGTAGACTATGATTATGTTTCATCTCCTGTCAACTTTATGTCTCTCCTGGACACAGAATGCCTCGCTCTTCCATTTGCATAGTTTTCTTTTTAAATATTCCCCCATCCTCTAACAACCTCAGTACAGTTTTCTACACAATCATTCCTTTTCTTAGCAACTGCCTTCCAAGAGACCTCTGGCTTTTATCCTGCTCCAACCTGGAATGGCCACTCTCCCAACCTCCCAGAACATCATCTTTGGAATTCTCCTTTCTCTTGTGTTGAAGCCATTTTATTTTCCCCTAGATCTTGTCCTGTTTCCTCAGTAGGATGGAACACATCTGACTGTAGCTACCCAAGAAATGTATGGAGACAGATTTTTGTGAACAATTTTTAAAATAAAATTCTAATTTTTACAATACTTCTAGACTTACCAAAACACAAAGTGAAGACAGTACAGTATTACCAATGTCTCAAGTGCAGTTTCTCCTAACATCTGACGTAAGTCTGGTACATTTGTCACAATTCATGAAACAACTAACTACAGCCCATATCTTATTCAGATCTCCTTGGTTGTTACTGAGTGTCTTTTTTCTGTTCTAGGATTCCATCCAGGCTCATCATACTGTATTTAGTCATCATGTCCCCTTATGTGACAGTGTGAGACAATTTTTTTATTCTGCATATCTATTTTTAAGTCTATATTCAAACCTCACCCATTATAGCATGACTGGGTATAGAATTCTAAGTGGGAAATCATTTTTAACAAAAAATTTCAGAATACTCCCCGTCATCTTCTAGCATGGGTATTGTCTAAAGTGCGTCACTTTTTTTTTTCAGGCCATTTGTCAGGCACCTCTTTGTCATCCCTGGGATTTCAGGGTTATTATTTACTCTAAGACTTCATGGTCATACACCTCAGAGTAGGAGTCTTTCCATTCACCGGTACTAGGCAGGGGCTGTGAAATTCATCACCTTCAATTCTAGGAAGTTTCTATGTTAATTCTTTGATGATATCTTCCTCACTCTTCTCGCGTTATAGAATCTATTAATCAGAATCTGGACTTAACATTTTCTCTATTAATCCTAATTTTCTTTTTTTTGTCCTACTTTCCTGTAAGTCTTTTCAACTTAACCTTTGAAGTTCTTCCACTGATTTTTCAAATTTAGGTTGTCAGTTTTCAATCTTGAAGAACTCATTTCTATTCTGGTTGCTTTCTCTCTCTTACCATGCTTTTCTCATTACAGATCCATTATCTTCTCTTATTGGAGGTCAGTAATTATAGTTTGTTTGCATATTTCCATTTCTTCTCCTTACACTCTGCTTCCCTTCCTCTACGTACCTTCTTGATTGTTGGACCTGACTTGTCTTAGAGGCATTAACATGTTGGTAAGGAGCGTACAGATGAGGTGATT